GTTAACCGATTATCGATTTACCATAGGTTTTTATGAAAATTTGATTAATTCGTCCTGGAAACCCCAACAAATAAAAAAATATAAATAAACGTAGTAAGAAAGTATATATGTAATAATATATCTATATCTATATATATAGGCCTATCTATATCTATATCTATATCTATATATATAAAAACCCAGCGAAGCGGGTCCTTGCAGCTAGTTGTTTATTTACTTAGAAACACAGTCTTTTATATATATAAAAAAAACTATATTACATACAAATAAAAACCCAGCGAAGCGGGTCCTTGCAGCTAGTTGTTTATAAAAACATTGTTGACCGTTATAAACAGTTAATTTTGTTAATCTTCTGCAGGTTTTTTATTTTTTCGGATAATCTTTTTATTCAAACTAATGATTTAATCTACTCGTATAATCGATAATAGTAAGAGAGAACGCCAAATTTTAAATGAGCTCATTGATTGTATTTTAATTGAATGAAACCGTGGATTTTAACGGGTTCCTCCTAGTATTGCTTAGTTTCAAACTAATATTTAATAAAGAGAAATGTGTAAATCAGTTTAGAATTTATATTAGCACAAGAGTCACTATGGTTTTTTTTATAGCAATCGCCAATTCAATCACTAAACACATTTTTTATTCGCCAAGTTACTTTCGCACCTAATATGATATTTTGTACCAACTAGAAATGAAAGGGCGACCGACAATATAAAAGCAATTCAGCAACGAGTTTCGTAACTTTCCTGGCTGCTATGAGATTTTATCTAAAAAATAACTACAAGTCAATCAATGCCATAAGTTATCGGGCTAGATATCGACTATAATACTAATAAATTTTGGTGAAACAATTTGGTACTAGAGAAAGACGTTAGGCGCCATCTCTTAATAAGTTTAATAATTATAATTTTTAATTAAATAATTTAAATAATTTAGACTACTGGAAGAAAAGAATCGGCCCGGAGCGGAACTCGAATCCGCAACCCCTGTTTACCGTGCAGATGCGTTACCAAGTAAGCAAGAGTTGCAGGTTCTACTCCCGCTCCGGACCGATTCTTTCCTTCCAGTAGTCTAAATTATTTAATTAAAAATTATAATTATTAAACAAGAGATCGCGCCTAACGTCTTCCTCTAGTACCAAATTGTTTCATCATAATTTATTAGTATTATAGCCGATATCTAGCACGATAACATATCGCATTGGTGGGTTTGTAGTTTATAATGTATAGGGTTGTAACGTTATTGTGTTTAAAAAATGACTTTCATACCATTAAATATATAAAATTTTCAATATGATGAAGTATAAAACCTTAAGCCAGTCCGTTTTGCGGTCTTGGCTTGGTCAAGGATTTCCATCTACTTAAGCGAGGAATTTTCTTAAACCAGAAAAATATACATATCTCTTATGGGAAAAATTGGGACTGTATATATCTTACTAGAGTTTGACAAAAAATAGTGTAAATTTCCAAAAGAGTTGTGTCAACAATAGGTGTATTACCCCGTTTAAGAACTCGTATATATACACGGTTTTACGTATTTTCTGTAATCGCTCGGATTTATACTCATTCATTAAGTACAAGTCTAGAACTACTGTACAATGAACTAAGTTATACGCATACAAAGTAAATGTTTACATTTTTTAATTATCACCAAGTTAAATTTTGTGAAATTTGTATAGTCGACCCCCTATAACACGGGTTCCTATAGTTCTATCCTGATAAAAGACACGAGGAGCTATCTGCGATTTAGTGCAGACTTTACCCCTGTATGAATAGGAAGGAAGAGTAAAAGAAAGTAAGAGTTAGAAGAGGAAATAAAGGAAGATAGGAAAGTGTGAAATAAGCAACCATAAGGCCCCCACAGGACCCCATGGGCGCCCGCATCACCTTTATTAAAACAATACAGAGGAATACAAATAATTAACAGTAACATTTTTACATACAGATGCAATTAACAGAAGAATGCTTATCTTTTGCATCAAAGTATATATAATCCCTATATGACGGCGAAAAAATTGCGACGGTATCCGTACAAACATGGTAAAAAAACTCCTATAATTCGGTAAAACGTCATCGGGCAGCCNACGGTGCACACTCGGTAAGTAATCCTACAATTTTTTGTTTATAGCATAGTTTATACGGATTATTCCCCCCCCCAAAAATATACGTGTTTTGGAAATGTTGAGTCGAATTAGTCTAGGAATCGATTAATTTTATGAAAGAAAACCTTTCAAACAGCCGTAGTGCGTAAAGTGCATACGTGCCGGGCTGTGATTGGCAAAAACTCGTACAAAATTGATTCATAAAGAACGGAACGTATCTACCGTGTTATAGGGGGGTTGACTGTAAATATTCCTTTGTATGTAACAGAACTAAATCTGAAAGGAAGATTACATGCTTTGTTATACAAACAAATTAAAATTTGGGTATTATCAGTTGGATGATCAATTGAATGAGATGCCTTGTAATATTGAAGTTTGACTTATATTTTCTTTACCGTAAAAATTATGGAAGAACATATGAAGTAATTATATTATTGCAGTAATGTATATTACTTACTACTGACTGTATACTAATTGTCCTTGAATTAGATTGTTTTTTATTAATTATTAGTACTTGGTAAAAGAAGTCATTTAAATAGATTGTTTGCTAAATGTTCAAAAATGAATAGCAAAGTTGAAATATGTATATGAAATAAAATTAAATAAATAAATAAAAATGTAATGATCATTCCCATTATCTTCCAGTAGGCCTAATATATTTAACTGCTGACTCATACTCTTTCTCAACAGCTACACGCCGACTTCACACAACTACACAACTGTGAAACGTGACAATTCTCCCGAAAAATTCACGCGTTTACAGAACACGGGAATCCACAAAACAAAAACATTTTCTGTTCATTATTTTAGCTTTACTAGTTTTATTTTCAAAATATAGGAGTAGTAACTACGAATAATCGAAATTTATGTTTAAAAATATTAGAATTAAGTTTACTTTTTCAATACTAATTGAAATATGATTTACAACGAGAATAATGCCGGGTTCGATAAATCGAATTATCAGATTCGACAATACAGGATTTTATAAAAGCAATTGAACAAAATTCTTTTCACTTGTATGAATAGTGTACATATTAATATAATCAAATTCATTACTATAATTACAATGGAACCTCATTTAACGAGCGATGTTTCGCATAACGTGTGGCCAGGAAGTTCCGAATTGTGCGCATGCTCCATCAGTTTGTGTTTAGCACTCGTTCCGCTAGAATCTTACTACGCATTCTTTTATTCAGCGCGCTTTTATCGCATGTGTTCAATTATTAAGCTTACTGTCAGCGCGCGCGCTTAAGATGCACTTTCAGCGCACTAGCAGCACCTCTCCACCATGCTTAAAATAGTGCTTACAAGATGGACGCCTCCATGAAAAAGTGTTTTTTTGACTACCAAATAATAATCAGTTTTTTGCTGTTTTAAATAAGCAGATTTTTAATCGTGACATACGAAAATGGCTTTTAAAGATTTCATTCGAATACTGAGGTACGATATCGTGAACGTAACCAACGATTTTTGCACGCTTTCTTCGTTGTTGGGAATCAGTCATCGCCAATGCCATAAATAAATCATCATTTCCTCGTTTTCTTATAAACAACATCGAACTTAATGGCTTTTCTTCTAATAATATTGAACAAATGCGTGTAAATATTGCACAAAGGAAATCATTGTTTATATCAGCCATTTTGAGATAGCTCTTTCTCCAGCAAAACTGTCTTCAAGCGTCAGCAGCAAAAACGTCATTTCCGGCAGCAACTGCTCAGCGCACTGCTGAATAAAAGAATAGTGTCGGGTGCAGAATAGTGCTGAATAAGCTAGTGTCGTTTGTGATCACATATTTTTCCAAACTTGTGTTCACACATATTACAGTAGAGCATCGATTATCCGACCCCGATTAACCGTCACCTCAGTTAACCGACCGCGTTCTAGTCGGCAAATTCAAATGTCCGCTAGTGATGTGGCGCTACAATATTTGGCTATGTCTTGGCTACTTTAATATTATTTTTACGTGTTTTAGCTGGCAACACTGGATCGACCATGAAAGGGAGCCAGTATTTAAACGAGGCTTAATTTTCTAATTTTTAACGATACAATAGCGACGATTATTATTTTAAAAAAAATTTGATAGGCTTAACATGGAGGAAAATTCAACGCGAAGTAAGTTAATAGCGATATACTAATATACTAATATACTAATTACATGGGATATAATAATATACTACACTAATAATGGATTTTTTCATACTTTTCGGTTATCCGCCTTTTCAATTATCCGACCAATCCCAGTCCCCAATTGAGTCGGATAATCGATGCTCTACTGTACTTAAAAACATCAAAAGCCCGTTATATAATAAACACGCCAAACGATATGCCAAATTCTTGGGCTATGTAAAAACTATAATTAAATACTAGAAATTAATTGATTTGACTAATGACCAATTCCAAATTAAATTTTAGAAATGTCTGAATTAAAAATTAACTATTTATAATTATTAAATTTAATATGAGATAGAAGCATAACCGTCCAAGGATAACTGCCTACCTCTAGTCAAATTAATTAATTTCTATTATTTAATTATAGCCTTTACATAGCCCAAGAATTTGGCATATCGGTGATTTTTTTGTCTTCTGCAAATCGACTTCGAATATTCCTGGTTGGTTCATTCCGCGCTAGAAGAAAAGGTGATGATAATTCACGCTCTTTAACAATGTTTATTCTATAATTTTCTTTGAATAAACATTACACATAAAACATTTGAGTATTTTTTCGGCATGGAACGCATTATTGTATTTTACATTAATTTCTATGGGAAAAATTGTTTCGCTTAACGAGTGTTTCGCATTACGAGTACGACTCTGGAATGAATTATGCTCGTTAAACGAGGTTCCACTGTATAAACAAGAAATAATTTTTAAAAATAATTTAGTTTATTTAAATTTTTAGAACATTGAAAATGGTGTGTGCAAAAGTTTTACGAAATGTTTGACTAAAAGTAAAGTGGTAAGAATGTTTTAAATATTTTTCTTACATTGCATATATTTCTAATAAAATTTGTAATTTAAAGTGTAAAAATTATATATTTTACTATTACAAAAATTGCTTTTAGCCCTAAGTATAATTAAATTAATTAAAATACCTATAACCATAAGGCAGATAATAGGAAGGGCTTATCACACCAATGATAATGGGCACAAACGCTCAAGAATCAAAGTAAAAAATTTAATAAAACAAAAAGGGTTGTACAATAAGATGATTACATAAGTATAAAAACCGTAAAAATTCAAAATGCATTTCGGACTATTTTCCAATGGAAAAATAGTCCCTCATCAGTTGGTAATAGCGAGAGGTCTTAGTAATTATACAAGGTGAAAAAATATCAAATTTAAAATTAAACTTAAAACTATGCCTAAAGCTATACAATATAAAGATGAAACCATCGCCATGACTGTATGAGCAGTAAGTATTATCAATGTAGACAGGATTAACATTTCTTTTTAACGTTGTATGGTAACGTGATGAACAGGGTGCAAAAACAGTAGAACAACGGAGTTGCAGGTTCAGACATTTCTACAAGATGCAGGGAGCGGTTACAAAGGAGGTTACCTTATAAATTGGAGCACAAGACTGTTCTACTGTTTTTGCACCCTATTCATCACGTTACCATAGAACGTTAGGAAGAAATGTTAATCCTGTCTACATTGATAATGCTTACTGCTCATACAGTCATGGCGATGGTTTCATCTTTATATTGTATAGCTTTAGGCATAGTTTTAAGTTTAATTTTAAATTTGATATTTTTTCACCTTGTATAATTACTAAGACCTCTCGCTATTACCAACTGATGAGGGACTATTTTTCCATTGGAAAATAGTCCGAAATGCGTTTTGGATTTTTACGGTTTTTATACTTATGTAATCATCTTATTGTACAACCCTTTTTGTTTTATTAAATTTTTTACTTTGATTCTTGAGCGTTTGTGCCCATTATCATTGGTGTGATAAGCCCTTCCTATTATCTGCCTTATGGTTATAGATATTTTAATTAATTTAATTATACTTAGGGCTAAAAGCAATTTCTGTAATAGTAAAATATATAATTTTTACACTTTAAATTANTATGAAACTTAAGGTGGCTAAATCAATTTAAAATGTATATTAACGTATTTTATTTTAATAATAATATATTTTTCGACTAACTTATGCGCTACAAGCTTGCATTTACGCTTTCAGCGTCATATCTTTAAAATTTTTTTGTATTTTGTTCTTACGTGTCATTACTCCGTTGAAGCTTTCTAACAGTTAAAAAAGTACTTGACGAAACTCACTTCATTTTCGACTAACACCCATTTCTGTGTATGTATAAGCGACGATAACGTAACACGTGAATACTTCGTAATTTATCATCAGCGCTAGCAATGAACTGCTGTGATATGTTTAATTTGAGCTTAGTCTATACTGAAAATACGTATAAGTAAACGACTAATAACCGAAAATTAACTTTTTATTACAGTAAGAAATAAAATAATTGGTTGATATTGAATTATTCATAAACAAAAAGTAATAATTTGTTCTTTAAGACGAATTTTTTTTAGTTTAAATTTTATTTCTAAAACCTCTGGGGATCCAACACCTATATCACTCCCAAAAGTACTGTACGTCACAGACTATCACGTTTGTATCAATTACTGAAAGACAAATATATAATAAATTACATTATAAATTTGAAAGAAGAGTAAATGTACACTTTTAGCCCTAGATTTTCCTGTCAAATGATCAGATTTATTTTAAATTGTGATGTGATTTATAACAAAAATATATGCTGTATCTATTAAATTGATACCCCTGTAATAAAATAATTCAATTTAATATAACAAATTTTTATTATATGTTATTTTATTGACAATGTATATTATTTTCATTTTACAGCAGCGAGGCAGCGTTTTAAACCTTATAGCAAATAATACCGTTCTTGTAAGTTTTTTTTTTTTTAATTCAATAAACGTATCGTTAATATTTCTGCGAACGTTTAATCCTTCTAAAAAGTATGCTAATTTAATATCTTTCTTTAGCCACACGAGGACGAAACCATTGCAGATGCTGTTGAAAGAAATTTGGTAAATATTTATCATAATATCTTATACTGTATTAACTAATAGGTGTATTTCGATATTCCGAGGAAACATACATAGGCATATTATAGCATTTTTTTATAATGCTTCAAATCTTAAATATATAAAAGAAAATTTCTTAATTATTGATGACATAATTTATGGATAAAAAAATGAAATAATAATTTCTTCGGTCGATTCATAAAAACAATAAGACAATTTCCATATTAAGAAAAATAAAAGAAAATAAGAAAACTGAAAATAATGTTTTTACTTTATGTAAATAATACATACAAGGAGACGGCCAGACGTTGTCCTCTCCGATTCAAATGAAACTTGGCGAGCACGTAGCCCTAAACACAAACATATCCTTGTCCAAATAATACGACTCGTTTCTCAAGCCTTTCCGAGAAATGGGCTTCTAGAATTGAGTGTGTAGCTTATAGGGGAAGGTGGGACAAGATGAGAACGTTAAGGTTTGAAAAGTCATAAGATGACAACCACTTTAATAAGAACAATAATTTTTTTTATTCTCAGTAACTACAACATGTGGTAATATATAATACAAAATTTAATTTTTGAAAAACGTTTTTAAAAACAAGAAAATTTAATATTTTAAAATTATATGTAAATGCACCATCTTGCCCCACCCATGGGGTAAGATGGGGATATTATTTTTATATACAAGAAGGACAAATTAAAATGGTTAAACTGTCGTTTTCTTCAATATTGGCGCAAGAACAGTGTGCCCATTTATCACAACGGCTACATTTAGCCCAACTCTCTTAGATACAGAGTATAACCCTCTAAATTACAGGCATTCTGTGTCATTTGGCTTTTGTTTCTTGTTAGGCCTACCCTTGCTGAACGGGCCTGTTTGTCGTCTCTGCAGCAATGAAGTCTGTTTCTAAAAATACTTCTGGATTCATAGGCCATATTCTTGGTCAACCTGGGGCTAGACGGGTCTTGCCCCCAACGTACATTTTTCATACTGACTGCAAACACTGTAATTGTTTAGTTTTGAAATGAAGTTTACTTTCAAAACTAAACAATTACAGTCTTAAAGGATACTTCGAATACCATAATATCTTTATGTAAAAGATAATGTAAAAGTTCACAATGATACTTACTTTGTAAAAGCTTTTTAGCGTGCGTAAAATTAAATGAAGTATTGCTGAAACATGAAAAACATACATTACTTCCAAACAAAGAGAGCGATTCCTTTCGAGATAGACATTTAGTTCCCCAAATAACAGCTAGATAAAAGCACATTAACCACAAATAAATAGACGTCCCCGTCTTACGCATGACCCCATCTTGCACCACCTTCCCCTAATTCTTTAGAAGATTCACTTCTTGTAATTGAGATAGCCGAGTGGATAAGATGTTAGTCACAGGAACTGCACGATGTAAGTTTACACTTTAGCATTTTTAGTTTTTTTTTGTGTGACAAAATTATTTTATGATTTTACCGTATCATTAGCATTATTATCACTATTGTTATTTCTCACGTTTAAAGCTTATAACTCAAGAGATTTAAAAAACGTGATGCCATTTCCTGTTCAGCGAAACAAAGTCTCTGTAGATTTAACTCTTGTACGACGTTAAATAAAATTTTTATTTTTTCATATTTACAGTAGACTCCCCTATAACACTGTTGATAATTCCGTGTTATATGAATTCCATGTTGTACGAGTCACTTAGATTTTACAAATACGTGTGCCTGGCTGTGAACGGCACACGTGTTTGTAAAATCTAACTGACTCATACAACATGGAATTCATATAACACGGAATTATCAACAGTGTTATAGGGGTCTACTGTATTTTCAGATATTTTTACCTGATTACATACTATGTTAACACATGCGAATTAGCTCTAGACGTTACTGCGAATGTACAGTACAAAATAAAAAAAATAGTCTGATATGAAGATAGGAATAGCACACTCGCAGTATTTTGTTAGTGTTATAGACAATTTCCTCATGCGCTCGTGCTTGTTACACTTCAAAACTTCAAATATAACAATATAACCCTATCTGGAAATAAATATGAATAAAAAATTTTATTTAATGACATACAAGAGTTAAATCTACAGAGACTTCATTTTCGCTAAATTGGAAATGACGTCACGCTTTTTAAATTTCTTTTATAAACTTTGAACGTGAGGAATAACAATAGTAATAATAACGCTAATGATACGGTAAAATAATGAAATAATTTTGTTATACAATAAAAAAATAAAAAAAAAAATACAAAACTTTCGAAGACTTAAACCTACATCGCGCAGCTCCTACATCTACTGTCTTGTTCACTCGGCTACCTCAATTACGAAAAAGTTATTCTTCCAAAGACTTATAAGCTAAACACTCAATTTTCAGAGGCCCATTTTTCCGGACGCTTGAAAATGGGTCCTATTACTTGGATAAAGAACTATTTGTGTTTAGGAGTACGTGCTCGCCAAGTTTCATTCCAATCGGAGAGGACAACGTCTGGCCGTCTTGTTAGTGATAAAAAGTAGTGTTTCATTATTCATCATTTACTAATTATACAAAGGAATAATACACAGTATGGAGTAATGAATATTACATTATTTTATTACTTACATTTAGACCTATAACGTAAAAAGCAATAATATAACACAGTAGAGGTATAATGGAAAGTTCTCCATGCAACACTCCAGAAACAAAACTGCAATTTTTAGAGCATAAAGATGAAAGAAAACAGTCATACCTTTGATAAGATCATCAATTCCACATTTCTAATAGAAATAAAATTATTGCAATTTATTAACTTTTATTAGAAAACGTACCTAATATTCAAATTAAGAGGACAGCAGCGACAAATTTCGTTTTATCAGCAAAATTTTTAAGTATTATGAAATTTTTTCCTAAAATCGAAACTGCAAACTGAGGATAGTAATTCAATGTTCCCTCTAATTTTTTTTTTTTTTGTCAATGAGCGGAACACACTTCTCTGAGCAAAAAAAATTTGCTGAGCAGATTCTGAGCAAAAAATTTTTCTGATCATATATATATAAAATCTTATTTTTTCTATAAAAATTAAAATAATTAATTATAAAGTATAGATTAAAATTAATTTTAAAACATACTTTTATACAAAATATTATCTCTTGTCAATGATTTAATGCATTTAATTGAAATATACGTAGCAATAATCATGTTGCAGACAGAGTGAGAAATAAGTAAACAATTCAAATCAGTGTGCATGCTCACCTGCGCGGCACATAAATTCTCGTGCGCGACAACAATTTGAGCAGTGCGCGGCCGCGCAGCTTAGAGGGAACATTGATAGTATGTACACAAAATTTAGTTGAGATTTAACCAGTGGCGTGCCGTCATTGGAAGCGGTGAATGCGCCGCTTCCCTTGTATTTTCTAAAAAATAAATACATATTAATTTTGATTATATGAAAATAATCGCACAATATTTTATTACAACCGCATTATGTATCTTATTACAAATTTCTATACTACACGTGAAAAGAAAGATACGATTGCTATTGTATATTCAAATACTAGTGGCGGAGTGGAAGCGCTGTATCGTCAGCATCCAAAAAGCCAGATTCGCGCATGCGCTTTACAGAGCACCAATTTCACCCGGTTTAGCTGGTGGAAGATTAGGACCTTGAGTGGATGCTATACGTATACCTCATCCAATTCTATCCAGGGCCGGTTCTGGGCTGTTAGCCGCATGCCTGCTATATAATTGGCCGCCCTCGCCCGATTACATGAATCACGAGTAGATTTATAACTTAACCCAATCGATAAGAATTCACTGGTATGTTTTTATGATAGTTCTGTAAAGTTGACAGGAATTTTAAAAAATCCGTTAAAATATTTAATACAGTATTTTTATTCCGCTCTCCGATTTTATATTACTCACGGATTTCAATGTTAAACCAGTGATATTACGATTTCGTGTGTCCCATCTATAAGGGAATGTAGAAAACAACGTGTACAGTTCTTGTATAATGTTAAAAAATTAACTGTTACTTCGACAGCGTCATTTACAACTAAATTTAATGAATGAGAGAGATGCACCAGGTACAGAAAAAGCTCTAGAATTTATTTTCCTTAAATTTATGATTTATGTATCCGTTTGCCATAAAAATTTCTTTCCACTTTTTTCCTGAGACTACAAATATTCAAGTACAAAGTAACCGGTTTCGACTTATTTCTACTTAAGAAATAGTTAAATAATTAAGCGATTAGGGAACTGGGGATATAAACAAAACCCTGACGAAAGAGCCGAAATTTTACTTAAACAAAAGCTTAACCGAACCAATATATAGCCGAGTACAGTGGGAACTGATTTCTTCGAAATATTAGATGTAATAAAGACAGACATTTTCCAGTTCAACCAGAGTGACCGAAAAGTTGTAAATTTTGGAAATTTCCGTGGACAACATCTGGTCTTAAAACGAATTTCTTAGAAAAAAATTACTTTTAAGTTTAACATATTTTGATTTTTATAGCTATGGTGAGAAACGTTTAAAATTTACAACAACCCTGTCGCGTCCTTTGAGATATACTGTACTAGTGTGAGACAAAAGAGGCATTTGACATTAACCGGTATCGGCACCCTCGGGATTTGGCAAGCCGCATTCACGCACGCACCACACACCTAGCAGGACCGTCTCTGATTCCACTCGTAGGGAGCTATTTGACTAAGTGCTTAAGATTTAAAAAGTAAAGAATATTTTATGTTATTTTTATGTACGTTTCTTTACAAAGCTATGTTTAATTATAATTTTCTTTAAAAGCATATTCATACAATTGAAGAATATTTAGTACCAGGCATGTATATCCACCACACATTTTATTTCACCGAGTAAGTTTTTATAATTTTATTTTTAATTTTAGCCCTTATATCGTGGCTAGCGATTCGGAATGTAATTGCGATATTGAAAATTTATTTTTAAAAAGTTTTGGCTCGAGATCATATAACGAAAAAGAAAACATTATGAAAGAAGAAAGGCCAATGC